AAATTTTGATTCCAACTGACTACCTTTCATTCTTTAGAACGACGTCTAGGTAGCAGAAAACTGAACAAACATTTTGTGCCAAGACTTTCACGCCATAGGTTATTTTTGTAACCTACTTTTACATGAACCTATACTATTATAACAAACCTGTGTAATTGTTTGAAGTTGCAGTTTATTACATATTTACTTGTACTTCTCTTATTATGTTTATAACGCATTTCCTACAAACTTCAAAGGCAATAAAAGAAATTTGATACGAAAGTAGGTTTCAGATTCTGTTAATGGCTATGGCTGATATTGGTGTCTGACGAGTAGCTAATGAATATTAAAAGTCCATAGAACTCCTAGTGTTATGGATTTCTAAGTTCACTTATGGACGTTGACTGAAATGAAAACGATGGAAACGCCCAGTAAAAATTACTATGAGATAACTATAATCCTATGACTGTATCGACTATAAGACGAATATGGCTGGTAGAGAAGTAGATGTCTCTGTTATATTATCAAAGATATGAAAAATGACTCATGTTAGCACCAGAGATGTCCGTCGCAGTTGAAAACTGACCGCTGCCGCGCCGCGACGATAAAAGAAAAAAGCTAACGCGCCGCTACCGCACCGCGGTGATAAAAACAGAAAGCCTATCGCACTGCTGCCGCGACGCCACCAAAAATAACCGCGCCGCTGCCGTGATCATTGTTAGAATAAAGTTGTGAATTTTACGATCTGTAACTGTTCAGGACTTGAGCTGTTATTACCAATCGATAAGATTCGTTGAATCTCATAGTTTTGCACTTGCAAACATTGAAATTCTGTTCGAATTCGTGCATTTTTGCATTTTTCTCCAAAAAACCTAGCGCTACCGCGCTGCCACCGCCACAGCGGCAGTGGTCGCGCCGCGATGGACATCTCTGGTTAGCACCCATTTCGGTCTGATTCACTGGAACTTTCTCAACGTTATCAATAAAGAAGAAAAATAATATGAGTAAAATTCTGCATTAGTTCACACACTGAATCGGTTTCTTATTGACAGCAAAATCTGTTGAGTTCATGGCAGTTTTGATTTTTAAGTTGCGAGAATTATGTCACCAGTCACCCTATCAAAGTATTGTACTTAGACTATTCCATTACTATCATGTAGGTTCAATATAGTTTCATAAATTCAGAAAAATCGTTGATCATTTACTCATGTTTTAGGTTGATGAATTGAAAAAGAATGATGAGAGGTTTGACGAAAAATACCGCTAATTTGTAATTACTGTAAATATTGGTTAATCAGAAACGTTTGATAAAATAAAGTTATTTCGATTCTGAATATCCGTGTGTCTCAGATGTTTTGGTATTGGGCAATAACTATCTTCCAAGAAAATTATTGGGCAATAACTTTTCAATTATTGGGCAATAGCCCAATGGCCACACCCTGGCTACGCCACTGATGATATTAAAAATAAACTATATTTTCTGAACTGTAAAGATATAATTTAGATACGAAAATTCATCTGTGTCTGCTTGTAGCACAGTTACTGTATGATAATTATAGTCGGAATGAGTTTATAGACACTTTAGTATTAATGACTGCGTAGAATGCCAAAAAATGACACTCATGCATTAGGATTCAAATTAATTGAGGAGTAGTATCTTAGGATGACGAATACGAAATTACTATACCGTGTAAAACGAACATACACGCTAAGTATTTCACCCCATACGATCGTATTTCTCCGTATCATACACAGAGAAATAAAATTGCAATATTGACCTATCGGATCAAATAAACATGAGTGTCATTGAGGTTTTTTAGATGGTTTTTCAGCTGTTTGATGGGTGTAGTGTTAAAATCGTATTTCACTGTATTATAGACAATCAAATACTCAGTTTTCAATCAGTTACCACCTATGCATGACATCATAAACTGAAGTAGTAATATCACGCCGAATAAACATTAATTTACAGCTATTTGTGACGAAAAACTGTATGAAACGACAGTACACACTCTGGTTTTTGTGATTTCAATAACTGTAATCAACAACCTGGAGTGTAAATGTAATACGTCAATATATGACGATTTATGGTTGTTTACCAGCGTACTTGTTTGCCCTGAAATGATCATTATTATTTAACTATTGAATATTTTGATGGATTGCTCAATATGATATATACGAGGATGTCATGTAACAATTATTCATAGTTACAGAGTAAGTCTGAGCATAAGATTATGATTAATTAAAGTTAATTTTTTGCAATATAAACAACGTTAAAATAACTGATTATATATAAGTCATACTTTTCATTTCAAACATGAAGAAGATACGAAATAGAACGAATGATGAAAGATCAGAATGTTTTGAAGTTTGGAGCATTTTCTTTAAATATTTCAACTTTGAGAATAAAATCTCTAAAATCAATATACTACTATTCATGACAAAAAATCATTCATAGAAATTCATTACTTCGATTTATATCAATATATGATAAAAAGAATTATTATTCACTGTACTCAATTATCATTTGAAAAATAAAATAAAATTTTGGGAACAGTACCAAAGAACAAAAACAAATAGAGTAACAGCTGTACAATGATCGAAAATACTAAAAAGTTTCTGAAAAAATACCAATAACATTGAACATACTAACTGAGCTTAATTAGACAAGTCTAGCATATTCATAATTAATTTTTCTCTCTAAGCATAATAATCAAGATTTTTATTACAAAGAAGCTGGTTCTATGAAACGAATTACTTTTATTATATGTCAAGTCACTACTTGTATTTACTTAATTAGTACTTAATGTGCGTTTATGTCGAGATGCATCTATCCGCCTATCTCTATTTCGTCAGTCTAAATTCAAGTGAATCAAATCTTGATAAGCGTTACTTGTAATTGTAGTTAAAAGTATTTCTATCACTTTTTTGAGAATAAACATTGAAAAAATGTTCAGAATAATCTAACCTTACTTTTTGTTAACATTTAATATGACTATAAATCTATTCGGACGATACTAAAGTCTGTAATTAATGAAAGAGTTCTCTGGAATACTGTAGTCTACTTTAAACAGTACATAACCCTAGATGTAAAATATAAGATGAATGAACAGAAAAACAAAAAGAAAGGAAAAACATCGAAATAGGAAAGAATCAAAAAGAATACTGTTGAAAACAAAAACATCAATTGTTAAAAATGGAATAGAACAAGGTTCATATGTAATAGGTGATCACTACAATTAAATAGTAAAAACATTCTTCTTTTCATTTACGTGCTGTGTTGCTTATGTGTATTGCACAAGCGCTGTATATGCATGTATGAGTGAATTACAACTATATTGTACGATTCGGATTTTGCAGTGTTTTTATTAATAGTCTGGTTGGTGTGAACCAGTTTAGACGTGCATGCCAGCCTTGTCCTCACCTACATACAGGCACTCTCAGTGACACCCACACATCAATAAATCTTTTTTATTTATGTTGTAGCTTACTCGAGGTTTTTCCATCACGTCTGCAAGACAAAAAAGGAACATAAATGAAGCATCTAATTGAAAGTAAAAACGAAGACAAGATTATGGCGATAAGAACTCGCTTGGGATGCAGAATGCATCCTCTAGACTGTAGCTATCTTCTAGTACAGTCAACACATGTTACACACTGCAAAAGCTAGATTCGAGTATTGGATAATATACAATAAATCTCAAAAAAAAGACATGTCGTTGATTATGTTTCAAAGTTGCAAGCTGGTTGTACTCCTTTATCTACTACTATTCATATGATATTTATCTGATATGTTATTCTTAGAAATTAGCTTTACTAGCAGAATTTATTACTGGAATAATATATAGATAATGTACTGAAATGAAATATTTAGAAATTCAATTTAATAACGTCTTTGTTTGACTCATTGTGAGTCTGACTCTAATAAGCATATTACTTTCTCGAATATGAAGTATTTTTCTTATAAGTATCAAGTTAAAATATTATTTAAATCAGAGTATACTATTCTTGACATCTATTTCATTAGTTACAGACCTTAATGTCGTCAAAATAAATTCATAATCATGGAAAATATTAAGAAAAAGTAATTTTTATTTTTTCTGAATAATTTCTTCAATGTTTGATTGCAAAAAATAATACATATGTTTTTAAAATGAAAAATTACCTACATACATATAATATATAAGTAAATGAACGACTTAATATTTAAATATAAAACTTTTTATTTTTAACAGCAGCGAAAATTTTTTTGTCATTGACAATATCAGCCAAGAAAGACTATCGAAAATGAGAGAATTTACTTTTGCAGAAAAACTGCAAAAGTAAATTCTGTATAGACTATCTTTATGATGGACTTCACTGACATTGTGCAATTACATCGGCCATCGGCGGGCCAGGATCATTTTTTTTGGTATGGCAAAATCATTAAAAAGTGTAATGAACTTATAAAAAAAATAGAACGTTACATTTTGTTCATGTTTTTTGATTCTCATGCTAAGTTTCTACGGTAGGCATTCTGTTCATATTATATTTATTATTCTCACTGTTGAGAAAATGACAAAAAAAACAAAGATGTTATCACAAACTTTTCATAGAAAAACTTCATCAATATAATTAAAATAACGGGTGACCGAAAATTGTTTGGACAAAATGTTTGTTTATTTTTGACCTGTCTCAAAGTATTTCCGGCGAGTCAAAGTCTATGTATTACAATCAGAATTCTGTGCTCTTTCCGAACATGGTCTTAGAGATTTTGTGTTGGCTTCTGTTTGAGATCGGTGAAATAATCTTTGAAAGGCCCAAAAACTTAGTTTAGACGGATAGTTTGTCCGCATATTTTTGTGTTTTTGCTACTGTCATCCGAAACTAAAAGGTGGAACCTTTATTATTATACCA